TAAAAAATTTTCTTACACAAAAAAATAATGATTCTGATGTATTTAAAGAGTTCTCACTTGCTTGTGATTTATTACACACTGTTCTCAGTTGCAGGTGATTTAGTACTTGCTGTCCTCAATTGGTTTTCAAGTGGAATATTTTTTTTTTAATTGCAAATTTTTTTTTTAACACCTGCATCATACATGTATTAGCATACTGTTAATTCACAGTGAAGGCAGAGAATACTGTTCTCTTTATAGACTTGGTGTTTTGGTCATGATTTCGAAAACTGGTTTACTATTATTGATAACTGGTCACTTTTTGAGAGCCATTGATATATTTTGAAATGAGATAGGATATATGACATCATAGCCCAATTATAGAAATTATTGTTGCGTGAATATTTCTTAAAGCATGTTTTTGTTTGCTTATACTGTAGATATTGGAGAATGTGATGATATGTCTGACATACATATAAGTAAGATAGATGATACAAATGAAGTTAATACCAACAACGTTGATAAAAACAAGAGCCATGGACATATCAATGAATATGACGGTATTTGTCTTATTTGCATATATTCTGTTTTCTTATAGGGCCAAATATTTAAACTAGTCGAAAACTACTAGACTTTTAGTTGCATAATTAATAGAAATGCAAGAGTTTATTTTAGAGCTGAATATTTATAATAATGGTTATTGTATTATGTATTATGATTGTGCTTTCTGTACTTAAGCCATAGAAAAAAATATGTCTGATTCTCATCCCAGTCCGCCCCACTGTTAGATTCCTCTCTGATAGATACATTTTCCCCTCAGCAAACATGATGCATAAAGGAAACTAATCATCATTCTGTGTATATAAATAATGTCCATCATATTTCAATAATAAAAGAAAGAAAAAAAGTGCCCTGACCTGCTGGACTCTTATCCAAAATTCCATTGAGAATCTAAATGTTTATTTTCTTTATCCTTACTTAGTTTAACATCATACTGTCATCTGACATTGCACAAAATATGTAAAAAATTTTCTTACACAAAAAAATAATGATTCTGATGTATTTAAAGAGTTCTCACTTGCTTGTGATTTATTACACACTGTTCTCAGTTGCAGGTGATTTAGTACTTGCTGTCCTCAATTGGTTTTCAAGTGGAATATTTTTTTTTAATTGCAAATTTTTTTTTTAACACCTGCATCATACATGTATTAGCATACTGTCAATTCACAGTGAAGGCAGAGAACGCTGTTTCCTCAAAAAACTTGGTGTTTTGGTCATGATTTCGAAAACTGGTTTACTATTATTGATAACTGGTCACTTTTTGAGAGCCATTGATATATTTTGAAATGAGATAGGATATATGACATCATAGCCCAATTATAGAAATTATTGTTGCGTGAATATTTCTTAAAGCATGTTTTTGTTTGCTTATACTGTAGATATTGGAGAATGTGATGATATGTCTGACATACATATAAGTAAGATAGATGATACAAATGAAGTTAATACCAACAACCTTGATGAAGTTAAAAGCCATGGACATATCAATGAATATGACGGTATTTGTCTTATTTGCATATATTCTGTTTTCTTATAGGGCCAAATATTTAAACTAGTCGAAAACTACTAGACTTTTAGTTGCATAATTAATAGAAATGCAAGAGTTTATTTTAGAGCTGAATATTTATAATAATGGTTATTGTATTATGTATTATGATTGTGCTTTTTGTACTTAAGCCATAGAAAAAAAATATGTCTGATTCTCATCCCGGTCCGCCCCACTGTTAGATTCCTCTCTGATAGATACATTTTCCCCTCAGCAAACATGATGCATAAAGGAAACTAATCATCATTCTGTGTATATAATGTCCATCATATTTCAATAATAAAAGAAAGAAAAAAAGTGCCCTGACCTGCTGGACTCTTATCCAATATTCCATTGAGAATCTAAATGTTTATTTTCTTTATCCTTACTTAGTTTAACATCATACTGTCATCTGACATTGCACAAAATATGTGAAAATTCTTCTTACACAAAAAATAATAATTTTGATGTATTTAAAGAGTTCTCACTTGCTTGTGATTTATTACACACTGCTCTCAGTTGCAGGTGATTTAGTACTTGCTGTCCTCAATTGGTTTTCAAGTGGAATATTTTTTTTTAATTGCAAATTTTTTTTTAACACCTGCATCATACATGTATTAGCATACTGTCAATTCACAGTGAAGGCAGAGAATACTGTTCTCTTTATAGACTTGGTGTTTTGGTCATGATTTCGAAAACTGGTTTACTATTATTGATAACTGTCACTTTTTGAGAGCCATTTATATATTTTGAAATGAGATAGGATATATGACATCATAGCCCAATTATAGAAATTATTGTTGCGTGAATATTTCTTAAAGCATGTTTTTGTTTGCTTATACTGTAGATATTGGAGAATGTGATGATATGTCTGACAGCATACATATAAGCAACATAGTTGATACTAATGAAGTGAATACCAACAACGTTGATAAAAACAAGAGCCATGGACATATCAATGAATATGACGGTATTTGTCTTATTTGCATATATTCTGTTTTCTTATAGGGCCAAATATTTAAACTAGTCGAAAACTACTAGACTTTTAGTTGCATAATTAATAGAAATGCAAGAGTTTATTTTAGAGCTGAATATTTATAATAATGGTTATTGTATTATGTATTATGATTGTGCTTTCTGTACTTAAGCCATAGAAAAAAATATGCCTGATTCTCATCCCAGTCCGCCCCACTGTTAGGTTCCTCTCTGATAGATACATTTTCCCCTCAGCAAACATGATGCATAAAGGAAACTAATCATCATTCTGTGTATATATATAATGTCCATCATATTTCAATAATAAAAGAAAGAAAAAAAGTGCTCTGACCTGCTGGACTCTTATCCAAAATTCCATTGAGAATCTAAATGTTTATTTTCTTTATCCTTACTTAGTTTAACATCATACTGGCATCTGACATTGCACAAAATATGTAAAAAATTTTCTTACACAAAAAATAATGATTCTGATGTATTTAAAGAGTTCTCACTTGCTTGTGATTTTTTACACACTGTTCTCAGTTGCAGGTGATTTAGTACTTGCTGTCCTCAATTGGTTTTCAAGTGGAATATTTTTTTTTAATTGCAATTTTTTTTTAACACCTGCATCATACATGTATTAGCATACTGTTAATTCACAGTGAAGGCAGAGAATACTGTTCTCTTTAAAAACTTGGTGTTTTGGTCATGATTTCGAAAACTGGTTTACTATTATTGATAACTGGTCACTTTTTGAGAGCCATTGATATATTTTGAAATGAGATAGGATATATGACATCATAGCCCAATTATAGAAATTATTGTTGCGTGAATATTTCTTAAAGCATGTTTTTGTTTGCTTATACTGTAGATATTGGAGAATGTGATGATATGTCTGACAGCATACATATAAGTAAGATAGATGATACAAATGAAGTTAATACCAACAACGTTGATAAAAACAAGAGCCATGGACATATCAATGAATATGACGGTATTTGTCTTATTTGCATATATTCTGTTTTCTTATAGGGCCAAATATTTAAACTAGTCGAAAACTACTAGACTTTTAGTTGCATAATTAATAGAAATGCAAGAGTTTATTTTAGAGCTGAATATTTATAATAATGGTTATTGTATTATGTATTATGATTGTGCTTTCTGTACTTAAGCCATAGAAAAAAAATATGCCTGATTCTCATCCCGGTCTTGATACTTAATTCTTCAGTGACAGAAGGCTGCCTCAGTCTCGTGTCTAAAGCCTTGGTTCAATTCTTTAAATGTTAAGAAATGATTGGATCAGTATGAAATATTTAATGACTTTCGTCAGGAATTGTGCAATGGTAAACTGTAGGTACATTTCAATGAAATAAAGTAAACAAATTGCATACCAAAAAGAAGATTTGGAGATCTACTTATTTTGAATCTTAAAAGTGCTACGAAATATTTTCAGAAGTGGAGATGATACCGAAAGAGAAGATTGTTTTTTCAGGCGTTGAAATCAATCATGTAAGTTTTCAAACTTATTTAAGCTGCAGGATAGTGATTAATGGGTTACATTGATATGAAGTGATTCATTAGGGAACTAGCATTATACCATGGCTAATGGACCATAAGTAAATGAAGTATATTTTTTGGAGGATTACAGTGGAATTCGGCTTTTAATAATTTAGAGGGAGGCTCTCTAGATTGAAACTTTGGTTAAATTATTGATAAAATGTAAATAAATAATTTGTTTATATAAAAATATATACATAAATATTTAAGATATTAATTTATCCTTACACAAAGTTTACAATTAAGGAAGACAAAAAATACAAAAAAGAATCAAGGAAACCCTTTTTATAACCCCTTATATTGAACATTACATCATTTAGTAATCTCAAAGCCATGAAAAGTTGAATTAGTTGTTTTGTTTGTGGAAGTAAAATTTATAATAATATTTTTTTATATTATGATATTGATAAGACTATTTTTTTGCATCTTGAAACATAATAGCAATAATAATACTAATCTAATGATTACTTTCACATTTTGTAAATTTTTAGTCTCTATTGTGAGAAAATAATGTGATATTTTATTTGTATTAGCAGATCTAACACATGTAACACATATTGGGATTTTATCTTGAATTACATTGATGAGCTTTGAGCTGAAACAGCTGTAATGTGGTTAGTTCTTTTACTCAGCAAACAGAAATCTCTACACTGAATGTGGGATATGACATTCTACCCACACTGTTGCTTACAAATAAAAATATCTCATAAATTGGTTGCTCATACATAAGCTTAATGTTTTGTAGGGTTTCTTGAAGTTATTCCCAGAATTTCAACTGGTCTCCATAGAAGACGCTTCTATTGTTGTTGTTGCTACAGGTAAGCCTTTCTTGACTCCATAAAATAAGTCAAGGACCCTGTACTTCTTCAGGGTTAAATTTGTTTTATTTATTTATTCTTTGTATGCCTCTTCCATATAATGGCTTGGGCAAATAGTGTTACCTTGTTCCGTCCTTCTGTCAGTCTGTCATTCAGTCATCATCAGTTTATGTTCATTATTTAAGTAACGGTTGCACACATTCAACTAAAATTTGGAATATGGATATGTCATGAGAAAATACAGGTCACATTCGAATTTGGTCATGGTTTGATGATTTTTGGCAGAGTTACACCCAATTTACTTTGAAAATAATATGAAATTTTCAGTTTCCGTTCATTATCTCCCAAACGGTATTATACATTCAACTAAAACTTGACATGGATATGTCATGAGAAACTACAGGTCAAGTTCAAATTTGGTCAGTTTCAGTGCTCATACTTTTGTGGAAATGTATTAATTTGGCTAGAAAAATGCAAAATGCAATTTACAAAAGGTTAACACTGAATAGTTTCAGTGCCTTGAACTTTGTTTAAAAATGGTTTGTGTTAACATTGAATAGTTTTAAGGGCTTTGAACTTAAAATGAAAAAAAAAAAAAATTGTTCAAACAAATTTGGAACTAAATATTATAACATGCATGCAGGGGGCATCCGTGGCGTGACAACACATTTCTATTTTTTTTTTTAATTATACATTTTTAAGTCACTTTTTCAAATTTAAATTCAAGAAGGGGAGAAGAGATGGATAAGGTCAGTAAGTTTGTAAGATTTTCAATCTTACAAATTTTGTTCACCTCTATTAAGACAGTTTGTGCTGTTTCTATATAGCCAATACTGAGAAGCATTTTTAGAGATTTTTATTGTAAAAATGAATGTCAATAATGACTGATATCAAAAATCAAACATGGTGCTGGATTAAAGCTTCATCAAAATAAAAAAAGTGTACTGAATTTGTGCCATTATAGTTTTCATTAGGTCACCTGTCACACAGTGACAAGGTTGATAAACTAGTAAAATGTCAGTGGCGCCTTTGATGTTTACGTTATAGCTCTCACAAAAACGATTAAAATTAATTTAAGCTAGATCATTTAATAACGACAATGTACAATTTATCTGTTTTAGTGATTGTGTTTTTTTTATATTGTTTTGTGTACTTACAACATTCATATCAAATACTTTTTATCCCCCGCCGATGGAATCGGGAGGGGGATATAGTTTTGGCGTTGTCCGTCCATCCTTCCGAATTTCATTTCCGGAGTAGTTCTCTGCAACTACTGGCTGGAATTCAACGAAACTTTATGGGAACTTTATAAATTCATAACACAAAAATTGGCTGGAAAACACGGAAACTTGTTTGTAATATGTAGAATACTTTGAAGCAATTGTTGGGATAAAATTTCGTCTGATCTTAAATTCGTGGATTGCCCAACGATGAATTTATGATTTTAAGGTATATTAGTTGTCAGGACCTTGTATAACACAAAGACTCCTGTTTAAATGCAATCATAATTAGCAGTACAGATCTTGATATCTGATTAAAAGGGGCACTTATTGTTATATTTTGTTAAGAATTTTCATTTTAGTGATTTGTAACATTACTATTTTACTTTTATTCTGTTATTCTTAAGTGCTCTTTTTTTTCAAAATCAGAAAAAACAGGGGCTGCCCCAGTCACATTGAAAGTCTTAAAAGCATTGCTAGGGAGGCAGAGAGAAATTGTAAGCCATCGATGGATCAAAGATTCTGTCAGGATTGGAACACTGCAGGAAAAGGTACATCAATACTCAAAAAATTTTTTACTGCTTTAAATAACATTGATGTCCAGGTTGGTTAAAGTTTATGCATAGAGTCACCGGAATAGTGCTAAGCCAGTATTTCACAAAATCACATAAAAAAACCTTTCATAACAAAAAGATTGCTGGGAAACTTATTTTTGTTTCAAAACTGGGCTTTTGAAACTCACAATAAACAAAAGTGTTTTAATGACACAGATCAGGATACAATTTACCATGGAGTTGTACATAGGCTACCAAACCAGTGCTCAACCAGGATATTCTGTATCTATCAGAACTTTTATTTTTGAAAAACAGATATGGCTTTTTATGTTGAAAAGTTCTATTTCAAAAATATTTTGACACATTTATGTTTTAATGTGTATAGCTGTGAAAGATATTACCCCTAGATTTTGAAATGTATCCCCAAAATATCCTTACATTTTATAATTAACAAGTTTTGGCTACAAACTGTTATACGATTAAAGGTAATTGAATATCATAAGAAGCAGAATGACGTTAGCAACGCAGGACTGTGTTCAATCCTATGTGCTTGTCAAACTGTTTATCGCTTTGATTAATTAAATAGGACATCATTTTCGCATCTCTTCGAGGATTTTTGATTGCATATAATAGGTATTCATGAAGATACATGTTTATCTCCAAATTTCTGAACTAATTGGAAACACAAATCTTTCTTAATTGCAAAAAAAATAGAAATTACTGTATATACAAGGGTTGTTCCAAAAGTCTGTGACAAATTTTATAGACGGTTCATTTTTAACGCCAATAGATAATAATTCACACATATAACTGTTAAGTTTATTATTTAACATTACAATAAATCATTTTTTAGGCGACGGAGTAGTGGCGACATATAGGGATCACTTCTCCGTCGTCTGTCTGTCCGTCCGTCACAAAACTTGTCCGGACTACTCCTCTTATACCACTATGACTAATGCAATTTCATTGAAACTTTACAGGATTGATCTGTAGCTCAAATCCTTGCGCATATTGCACGGGTTTTTAGGTTGAATGATTTTTGGCCGAGTTATGGCCCTTTGATAAAAAGGTGTTTTTTTCTGTGTGTTGCCAGATACGCAAAAGCTTGTCCGTACTACTCCTCATAAACTACTGGTGCAATTTTATCCAAACTTTACTGGAATGATCAGTGCCAAGTCTAGTTGTGCACTGTCCGTCTGTCACAAAATTTGTCCCAACATGAAATTGGCCATCATGAGGCCACACATGTGATTACTGATCGCTCTTGTTAAAATATTTACTCTTGTTACTTAGTAATTTCAAGTATTAACGACATTGGTTTGAGTTGCCGGCACACTTCAAATAATTTGCTTTTTGTTATGAATAGGCTAAAATTAATTACGTATATTTCAAATATCTGATGATGTGTCTGCACAATGTCACCTTGACTTCCTCTGCTGCTATGTACACATCATCTCAGAAAAATTTAAGTCAAATAAATTAAGAAACAAACAAGATACGGTTAAATGAAGATATCTCATAGAAAATAGGAAAGTTAAAATGGCGACGTTCGAAGAATTTGCGGCGCAGTGAACAGGTCACTCGGGTTATGTGACTATTTGGAGATGACTCATGTTACGATTTTCACAAATATACCAAATACAACAGTTTAAAAACATATCCTGAGCATTTGTTTACCAAATGCATAAACGGAACCAGAGGTTCGGGCTACAAAAACAGAAAATAAGGAAAGCACGAATAGAAAAACCGATCTCAGTCGCCTTTTTCCTACAGCTTAAAGCAGCTGCAAAGACAACGAAAGTTCGCGTATAGCAAAAATTAATGTATGTCATCCAAACATTCAACAGACAATAACAACCACATGACTTAAGTCTGTAAATGACGATTTATGGGTAAAGCTGCACCATTTTGCGTTTAAAGCCATTAAGAGTTTTTGAGAAAGGCGCCTTAAACAGATTTAATGCCGTCTTGACGTTTGACGTGCGCTGCGATTCAGATAGTTGCCATGGTATTTACGGCAAAGTTTTGTTGTTTGTAAATATTTTCTATATAAATTTGTGAAAATGTTTCAATTATATGGGTTTATAACATATTATAATATCAAATTCGTACCTATTTTATTTAGTTTTTAAACACCCTTGTCACAGAATATTGGGACAACCCTCGTATTTAAGTCAAATATCAATTTTGTTAACTCATATTTGGACGTTCAATTGAGTATTTGGTTAACCAGTAACTCTATCCAATCCCTAATTATTAGAAAGCTGAGTAATAGTGTGTCCATCTAATCTTGTGTTTATTTCAGCTGAAACATTGATAGGAATAATATGAAATTGAATATTCAAGCTAAGTTTGTACTCCTTTTTTAGAAAATCTAGAGCTATTGTTCTAGTTAAATCAAGATTTTCAAATCTTACTTCCATTCAGCTGATGTATAAAGTTTCCAACAGTGCTGGGTATGGTCAATGGAGTGACAACGAAAATTACAAGCCATTTGATTACCAGATACAAAATAGTACCGCTTTCAATGATATTTCAGAGGGTAAATATAATTTATATGATGTTCTTTATGATGTATAGATTTTTTATGCTATTCTCTTTTCCTGTTTCTTTAGAAATACATATGTTTTAACTTGAAATTAAACTTGAAATCAAATATCGTAGAACATAATATTGTTTTGCATTTACAAAAATGCCCGTTTATTCATATAAAATAGACATTATAGTTAAAGGTTCTTGCATCTTTATAGCGTCTCTACAACAGTAGTGTGGAGAAAGTTACAAGATAAAGTTAAACAGCTAAAAATAATTGGCTACTTTTAACATTGCTGGACTAAAAAATAATTGTCGGCTACAGTATATTGAGCATAATTCAAATTAAAATTTCAGGTGAAATCCGACATCTGCTAAATTCAATATGTGGTACTGAAGTGTTAGTTCCAGCTAAAGATACAATCATAATGTGTGGTGATGGAGATTTAACAACATCTGGTAAATTAGTTTATAATATATATTTATATGATTGCAAAGCTCAATACTTTTGAATAACTTTGTCATCAAACAAGATGTTCCTAATATCTCAATAAGACCATTTGGTAAATACTAAATATATTTTTTAACAGAAGTTAAAATAGATTCTGAATGAAGAGCTGAGAGCAAAAATGAAATTTACTTCTGTACTCACTTGATTTTTAAAGTTAAGGTCACAATGATTTTGGATAGTAATAGAGAGCTCCATTTGATCTGTGAAATGCACCAAGAAACTTGAATCTTGCTAGGTTTTTTTCCGAAAACCTATATGTATTTTAATGAAACTTGGCGAAATTGGTTAGTTAGATATAGTCATTAATTTTTTATATGCCTGATTGAAAGTTTCCCATGGCGGGCTGTCTGGCGGCTGGAGGGTGAAAAAATGGTCATTATCATGACTGCCATTGTGAAGCAAAGTATTGTGCACAAAATCCAGATCCCTGCTACCAAAGTCAAAGTCACATAGAGAGGTCAAAGTTTGTGTACCGGGACCATTTAGTCATCATTTATTGATTGATTGTTACACAAATGATAACTATGATGACTGCAAGTGTGACACATGTAATTTAGGTTAATATTTGTTAGGTCAAGGTCACTAGAGATATAAAATATCCAGATATTGTCTGTATATTGCCCAAAGCATATCTCATATATACATCTCTTACAAAAACTCTTTGTGGCAGGCATATTTTGCGACAAAGTTGCCCATGTTTTTTGTACCTTTGAAGAAATGTAGGTATGTTGTGCTGACTTCAATTTTTGGCCGATAATTTAAATATTTGATATTGAGGTATGGTTTGAGGTAAATGTCACAAAATAACAACCTCTGCAGTCGATTGGTTAAGGTTGTTGACTTTTATCCAGTGACCTCTATGCAGGTGGTTTAACCCCAAAGTTATATTTTGGTTTAAATTGCAAAAGACTAGTGTAATTTCTTAAGAATCAATGGTTAATATTCTACCAACCCACATACTTGAAAAAAGGGTCACAAATGGTTCCAGATGTTTTTAGAAAACACAATTAATGTTTCACTTTATCTTTAATTTGAAAGATAACTGATTTTTAACTAATTTATTTTTTCTTCAGAGCAATGTGTACATAAGGAGTGGCTTTTTCATTGCATCATTACTGGGGAAATAGTTCATCCAAGATATTACTATGATGAGTTTCCCACAGAGGTTGTTCCAGATTCTGATGATTCATCTGTAGTTAGTTTCAAAGAATTCACAGAGGTTAAGAAAATTAAAATTCAAACATCCGGTGCTAAGTTTGGGAAGCGTTCTCAGAAAAAACAGTGCTGCATTTATTGTGAAACTTTAACAACAAAACTAGCAAGGCACTTGGAACTGAAGCATTCTTCAGAAATTGAGGTTGCAAGAGCCTTAAGCTTTCCAAAGAAAAGTGAAATGAGGAGAAAAGCTTGGCTTGTTCTTTCTGCAAAAGGTAATTTTCTTTACAACAGTAAGGTTGTTGAAAATGGAAATGGAACTATCATACCAAAGTATCGTCAAAGGAAAGACAGTAAAAATAAAGAATATCTTCCATGTGAATTTTGTTGCGCACATTTTGTTAAATCTGACTTATGGAAGCATCAAAAAACATGCCCCAGAAAGTCTCCTGGGAAAAAAAGTGATGGTCCCGTAAAAAACTCACGGTTACTTAATTTCCCGAGCTTAAATGATTTTAAAAACCTACAAACACATGTGTTGTCTAACATGAGACAAGATCATTTAAAAGTACTTATTGAGAAAGACGAACTCATACTTCAGTATGGCCAAAGACGGTTTGAAAAAACTGGTAAACATATCCACACACATCAGTATATATCTCAGAAGTTACGGGAAGTGGCACGTTTCCTTTTCGCTGTAAAAAGCATTGACACATCAGTTCACAGTTTGTCAGATTGCTTGAAAGCTGCTAAATGGGACTTAGTTTTGAAAGGAGTCAAGTCTGTAGCTAAGTTTGAGGAATCTAGTCAGACATTCTCCATACCAAGTTTAGCATTGAAGATTGGACAGAGTTTGAAAAAGTGTGCCAAGATTATGAGAACAAGTGCATTAAAAAGCGGGGATGATGACCAATTTAGACAAGCTGATATGTTTTTAACTATCTATAAGGAAGAATGGACAGCCCTCATTGGTAGCCCTCCCTATAAACCCAGGTAAAAACATAAAATTAACAAAAAAAGTATTGCCTATGGTGGAGGTGGGAAGTTATCAGAAAAATTTCAAGGCCCAAGTACCCAAAAAACAAAGTATGTAAATCTTGCAAAACCCAATTCTTGCTAAATACTTTCAAAAAAAAAGAGCTGGAAAAAGTATCAAGAATGACAAAACAATCTTATTTCCAAGCAGTGAAACAACAATCGCCTGTTGACAGTGATGTAAAAAAGAGTCTGACAAAATTTGAACAGTTTTTATGTGAAAATCACTTTAGAATTGAAATAAGGGGTAAAAAAGGCAGAAAAGTTGCAGTGATATTAACAAAAGAAATGAAAGAAAATATTGATCATCTGTTGTCTTTAAGTGACAAGGGAACAATGTATGTGTTTCAAAATACCAGTTCTCGTTTTCCTATCCGAGGAAGTGATGCACTTAGGAAAATGGTTAGAGGAGCAGACATAAGAAATCCTGAAACAGTAACATCAACTTCACTAAGAAAACAATTAGCGACAATGTCACAGGTACTTCATATGAATGACAATGACCAAGACATTCTTGCCAAATTTATGGGGCATGACCTTCAGATCCATCGTGAGTTCTATAGACTTCCCCAGAATACTCTTGAAGTTGCCAAAGTAACAAAAGTTCTGCATGCCATCAACAGTGGAAATATTTCACAGATACAAGGGAAAAATCTTGATGAAATAAATGCGATGGATGTTGTAGGTATGAAGTTGTTTTAAGCTTGACTTTTTTTTTTTTTTTGAAAAAAAAAGTAGAGGTATTGTTACAGTCAGGTCGGCGTTGCTGTTGCCGTCCGCAAACTTGTACCTAGTACCTGGATCATAATTTTTTTATTTCTTGGTGTATTGTCTTCATACTTGGCCAAAACAACACTTGGGACAAGACCTTTCAGTAGACCACACTAACCTTGACCTTCATCCATAAATGACCTTGACCTTCAAGGTTAAAAGTCCAATTTTTGCTTGTTCATGCTGTTATTGGCTGTAACTTTGTTATTTTTGAATGGATTGTCTTCAAACTTGAACATAATAATCTTCAAGATATCCCTTATAAATAACCAGTCAGACCTTGACCTTCACTCATAAATGACCTTGACTTTGAAGGTCAAATGATTGAAATTTTAATTTTTTGGCTATTATTGGCTGTTACTTTGTTATTTTTGAATGGATTGTCTTGAAACTTGAACATAATAATCTTCAAAGATAACTGTTAAAAATATACCGAAAGACCTTGACCTTCACTCATTACTGACATTGTCTTTGAAGGTCAAATTATTGAAATTTTCATTGTTTTGGCGGTATCTGACTGTAACTTTGATATTATTGAAGGGATAAACTTCATATTATAACAGAATATTCTCAAGGACCAGACCTTGTTGTTTATCAAACCCAAATTTGGTTGGGCTCTATAATGACCTTGACCTTGAAGGTTATATTACTGAATTTTCTCAGATTTGTGCATTTATTGGTGTGTGTGTGTATATATAATTTATATATATATATATGAATTGCGTCATTTTTTCTATTTTTAGAAATTGCGTCATTTTTTTCCATTTTTAGAAATTGTGTCATTGTTGCTATTTTAAGAAATTGCGTCATTTTTTTTACTTATAGAAATTGTGTCATTTTTTTCTATTTTTAGAAATTGCTTCATTTTTTTCTATTTTTAGAAATTGTGTCATTGTTGCTATTTTTAGAAATTGTTGCTATTTTTAGAAATTGCGTCATTGTTGCTAGTTTTAGAAATTACGTCTTTTTTTTATTTTTAGAAATTGCGTCATATTTTTCTATTTTTAGAAATTAAGTCATTTTTTCGATTTTTAGAAATTGCGTCATGTTGCTATTTTAAGAAATTGCATACTGTTGCTATTTTTAGAAATATGCTTAATGTTTCTATTCATATATATATACAAAATATATAAACAAAACTAATGTGACAAGACAGACCAACTAAATTTATAAAAAGGAAACGTTAATATATGTTCAAACCTTTCTATGTTTGCGTTTAGAAAAAGTAAAGAGTCGAGCAATGCCCCCGCCCGGCGGTGGCTCTTGTTCTGTCTGTAATAGTTTCTAAATTTTGAAATTTAAATAAGTAAAGGAGATATTCGTGATCATTTGCATGTTTTCAAGTACTGACTGTCTTGTTTTTGATTCAATTTCTATTTAGATGCTGAAGTGTTGAGCGACGAGGATGATGATGATGAAGAGTATAATAATGATAATTGTGACGCTTCTGACAGATTCTGCCAAGTACCAGAATCCCCAGATGATACCTCGACAGATTCTGAATCTATACAAAACAAACAGCAACATAAGAAACATCGCATTGGTAAGTTTGTAGTCTTGATCATTGATCACCTGATCACAAATTGAAAATAATCAGAATAAGCTTTTTGGAGGGGAGGTGGGGGCTTCTTTCTTTCACTTTTTATTTTTGATTAATGAAGTCATATTTATCATTATGGTTGAATAAAATTGTCGAATAATGGGATTTTCCCAGCATACCGGGATGTTATGTCATGTATACAAACCATATTGTTAAAACATGTGTCTGGGAAACAATCACTACTATAAATTTGCGCTGTCTTAAATTTGCATTTCAGATACTAGGAAAAAAATCAGAAAAAATTGGCCTTATACTTGCTTAATTTAGATTTCAGTACCAGAAAAATAAAACAGTAAGATTAAATTCTTACTTGCATAATTTCAGGCTGTATAACAGTCCAATCATTGTAATATGCAAACTGATAATTCTTCTGTTAATTGACACGAAAAGCTTGTGATATATTAAACACTTCTGTTTGCCTCATTTGCTTGCACATTCTCACAAACTCCCCAGTTGCTGGTTATTATCCCAATGATTTTATTACCCTCATTTGGTTAAAAGTGATTGTGCATTTCAAAAAATCTTTATTTTAAAAAAAAAACTTGTGTGAATATTCTAAATGTGGTCTGATGTATTTTTTTATGCTCCCCGAAAAATTTCGGGGGAGCATATAGTCGTCGGGTTGTCCGTCCGTCCGTCCGTACGTACGTATGTATGTCCTTAATTCGGTTTCTGATCAATAACTAAAGAAAGCTTAGGCCTAGGAACTTCAAACTTGGTATGGTGATTGGTCATGACCAGCAGATGACCCCTATTGATTTTGGGGTCAAGGGGTCAAAGGTCAAGGTCACATTGACCTTGTCGGTAAAAATGGTTTCCGATCAATAACTAAAGAATGCTTAGGCCTAGGAGCTTCAAAATTGGTATGGTGATTTGTCATGACCAGCAGATGACCCCTATTGATTTTGGGGTCAAGGGGTCAAATGTCAAGGTCACATTGACCTTGTAGATTAAAACGGTTTCCGGTCAGCAGCTTAAGAATGCTTAGGCCTAGGAACTTCAAACTTGGTATGGTGATTGGTCAGTGGAGCATATAGTCGTCGGATTGTCTGTCCGTCAGTCCTTCAGTCCGTCAGTACGTACATCCTGAATTGTGTCCGGCCCATAACTTTGTTATTTGAAGTTTGATTTTAAAAACTATTTCACAGAAATGATCACCATATTGAGACAATGTGTCGTGCACAATATTTGGATTGTTTTTTTACACTTTGAACTTTGTCTGTGATTAAACTCTGACACTACAACAGGTATACCTTCCTGTATCCAAAACCTATTTGGGGTTCAACCGGCTCTTGTTTATTCAGTGAAGCTGATGACTCAATCTGCAATTGTTTGATTAATTAGATAAACAGCTAACAGTCCCGTATGTTGTTAAATGATGCTTTTGTTTGTTTAAAAATTTAAATGCACAAATGTATATCTTAATAGGTAAAACTTACCCCAAGAAAGGTTTGAGAAAACCATGGACCGGAATAGAAAAAGACACCGTTAAAAAAGAATTGCACAGATGTTTTTTATTGGAGAAATTACCATCAAAAAGAGAATGTGAAGAACTTATAAATAAGGAGCCATGTTTGAAGGAACGATCATGGACAATGATAAAAGGTTTTGTACGAACAACTTTAGCATCACAAAAGCGTCAGATTGAAAAGAAAAGAAAAGAACATTAGATTTGTAAAGCAGTAAATATGTTATTAAGTATTGATATCTTCAGTACGGTACCCTCTCTGAACATGCACATGAATTTTGAAAATACTAGGCACAAATAGTCACAATAATAAGATGATATGTCATGCGTAACATCTGTGTCCCTTCCGCCAAGGTCAAGGTCACTCTTAGAAGTCAAATATTTACATAGTCTGTTATAGGGTATATTTTGTGTCCAGTCCATAACTTTTTCATAGATAAAAGGATTTTAAAAATACTTTGCACAAATAATCACAATAATAAGAGGATATGTCAGGCGCAAAACATGGGTTCCACTTAGGTTACACTTAGAGGTCAAAGATTAACATAGTCTGTTATAGGGTATATTTTTTGTCTGATCTATAACTTCTTTATAGTTCAAGGGATTTTAGAAATACTTGGCACAAATAGTTACAATAATAAGATGATTTGTCATGCACAACACGTGCACTCCTCCCTTCAGTGTGAAGGTCACACTTAGAGGTCAAAGCTTGATATAATAGATTTTTAAATTCTGTGTATCATTTTTGTGTCGCCTCTACGGAGTAGTGGCGACATATAGGGATCACTTCTCCGTCGTCTGTCCGTCTGTCTGTCTGTCCGTCCGTCCGTCACAAAACTTGTCCGGGCTACTGCTCATAAACTACTGGTGCAATTTCATCCAAACTTTACAGGAATGATCAGTACCAAGTCTAGTTGTGCATATTGTCAGCATTTTCCGGTTCAATGATTTTTGTCAGAGTTATGGCCCTTTAATAATTTTTATTTTTAAAGTTTGTCCGGACTACTTCTCTTATACCACTAATGCAATTTCAATGAAACTTTACAGGATTGATCTATAGCTCAAGTCCTTGGGCATATTGCACGGGTTTTCCGGTTGAATGATTTTTGGCCGAGTTATGGCCCTTTGACAAAAAGGTGTTTTTTTCTGTGTGTTGCCACATACACAAAAGCTTGTCTGGACTACTCCTCATAAACTACTGGTGCAATTTCATCCAAACTTTACAGGAATGATCAGTACCAAGTATAGTTGTGCATATTGTCAGCATTTTCCGTTTCATTGATTTTTGTCAGAGTTATGGCCCTTTAATAATTTTTATTTTTAAAGTTTGTCCGGACTACTTCTCTTATACCACTAATGCAATTTCAATGAAACTTTACAGGATTGATATGTAGCTCAAGTCCTTGCGCATATTGCACGGGTTTTCCTGTTGAATGATTCTTGGCCGAGTTATGGCCCTTTGATAAAAAGGTCTTTTTTTCTGTGTGTTGCCAGATACACAAAAGCTTGTCCGGACTACTCCTCATAAACTACTGGTGCAATTTTATCCAAACTTTACAGGAATGATCAGTACCAAGTCTAGTTGTGCACTGTTCGTCTGTCTGTCTGTCACAAAATTTGTCCCAACATGAAATTGGCCATCATGAGGCGACACATGTGATTACTGATCACTCTTGTATTTCTTTTATAAATTTATTGTTGAATTTGCAGAAATAGCATTGATCATATTTTTTGACTGAAAGTCCTGAGAGCCATACCTCAATCTTTTGAAATAACACAATTTTATGCTTCATATAATACTTCCCCGAGGCGGGGGACGTTGGTAACTCTGTTACAAATTCTTGTTGTTCAGGCTCTGAGATTCAATTACACATGTAAGGTAATTTTTTTATCAAAGTTACCTTTTGGGGGTATAAGTCACTTTTCAGTGGCAGCTCTTGTATGTATCATCAGGGTTGCCAGCGGACTTGAAAAGTCAGGGAAATTGTGTACTTTTTCAAGGTCAGGGAATTGTCAGGGAATTTTGAAATTTGGTCAGTGAAAAATGAAAATCCTGAAAAGTCAGTGAAAAGTCAGGGAAAAATTATTTCAAAGGTCGAAAAATATACACATTGAATGTCTTTCTTGGCTATGGCAGTCTTTGGCATTTAATATTTGACTTTATCACTCTCACAGTTAAGCATTAAATTCAAATAACAGTAAACTGTGATATTAAGAAGCATTATATGTTAACTTAGTGATTATAATACCCATTATTTACCTTAGAACATCATTCAGCCTAAAGACTGAATGTTACAGTTATGCCTCTCATTGTATTCTGTATTGGTCTAGCTATTTCTGTGCATGATCACTAGAAGTGCTTTTACTTACTAGCAATATCTAGTCAGTACATTGTATTCTGTATTGGTCTAGCTATTTCTGTGCATGATCACTAGAAGTGCTTTTACTTACTAGCAATATCTAGTCAGTACATTGTATTCTGTATTGGTCTAGCTATTTCTGTGCATGATCACTAGAAGTGCTTTCACTTACTAGCAATATCTAGTCAGTACATTGTATTCTGTATTGGTCTAGCTATTTCTGTGCATGATCACTAGAAGGGCTTTTACTTACTAGCAATATCTAGTCAGTACATTGTATTCTGTATTGGTCTAGCTATTTCTGTGCATGATCACTAGAAGTGCTTTCACTTACTAGCAATATCTAGTCAGTACACTGTATTCTGTATTGGTCTAGCTATTTCTGTGCATGATCACTAGAAGGGCTTTTACTTACTAGCAATATCTGGTCAGTACACTGTATTATTTATTGGTCTAGCTATTTCTGTGCATGATCACTAGAAGGGCTTTTACTTACTAGCAATATCTGGTCAGTACACTGTATTATTTATTGGTCTAGCTATTTCTGTGCATGATCACTAGAAGGGCTTTTACTTACTAGCAATATCTAGTCTGTACACTGTATTCTGTATTGGTCTAGCTATTTCTGTGCATGATCACTAGAAGGGCTTTTAATTACAAACAAAATCAAGTCAGTATACATGTATACCAAACTACCATATTGGCATATAACCTGCTTTGACACTAAGAAATTGTACAAGAGGATTTGTCTTGCAAACATGATGGAAACTGGTTAAATTATGCAATGCTATGTTTTTCACACTAACTTTTTTCACACTAACTTACTTCACTCATTCAAAGTCTTTAATTTTATAGTGATTATTTCATGAAATGCCAAAATGAGCCCTATGTTCTTGTTTTCACAATCAGTGGAGTTTATCATGATGCCTTATACAAGTAACTGTGTTAAATGTTTATTGTTCTTATAGTTTAGATATGTTTGAATTTTAGGTTTTGTCATACAAGTATTACTCTTATAGTCTCGGTGTTTTATGTGTTACTATTAGGAAGGAAAGAGTGACTTATGTGATTTCTAATACAGATGCTTATATTATGATTCTTCTGATTTTCATGTCATATGTTTCACATGTTTCACTGACCAAAAGTCACACTGTGTTTGAATACAAATAGTTAAGAATAGTAGAACACAATGTTTGAATCATTACTTTGATGTAAATGTTTTATATTTTGGAAAATAAATACAAGTTTACATGCAAAAATATAATGAGAGGATTGGACGGCTATAGGGGAGGTCAGGAGGCCGTTTATGTGTTTAACGATTTTGGTCAGTGAAAAACATGAATTGGTCAGTGAAAAGTCAGGGAAAAGTCAGGGAATTTTATTTCACCCAAGTGCTGGCAACCCTGATCATATATTTTAATCATGTTAATACTCGAGTTTTGTTTGTAATGGAATCTTTAATCTGGAAAATGAATTTGTAATGAGAAGCAGGAGTTGATTTATAAAGGTGTAATGAATTTGTTGTTTTTTTTTGGTTTTTTTGTTCTATGCTGTTACATACTTTAATCTGTTGGTTATGTAATGTTACAAATAGAGGGTGCATAGACCACGAAAGGTAACAACTTAGTCACTGATTGGCAAGAATGTTAATTATCTGGATATATTCTAGTGGGTCATCTAGGAAAAACTAGGATATGACAATGTATGAGGATTAATGTCATTATCACAGAATACATGTACTTCAAGATCTTGATTATTTGAAAAGAATGATATTTTTGACAGAACTTGCATTAAGTGGCTAGAAAGTTGTCTGGAGGAAAGCAATATCAATTTTGTACATTAATTTTTTTCCAGGTATTTTTCTTGTTGTTGTACTTATATTGTTATCAATATCCCAAACAAGCAATTTGTAGTCATTTTAGCCATCGAAAGGGATGTGAATGCTATGAAAACATATCTACAATAGTATAAATCCCAATATTCAAACACATTTTCAAAAAAGTTATGCAGCCTAGATTTTAAGTCTAAATTATTCTTCATTGTAGTAAAACAAATTTGACCATGAAGTTTATCATATTAATTGTTTTGAAGAGGCAATGTCATATTCACACAAGATGACTTATTTGAATGTAACTTTACTGTGATTTTATTTTTCCACAATTTCTTGACATTCATTAGTGGTTTCATTAAATAAATGGAATCAGGAGGATAATGTTTTGGCGTTGTCCGTCCAGATTTCTTTTCCATGCTAGGTTTCTGCAATTACTGACTGGAATTCAACGAAACTTTATGGGAATCATCAATACCAAGAGATACGCATAATCATCACATTGAACCATGATAAGTATGCAGTATGCATAAAGATCATTTTTAGATCAATAATCGTTTCTGCACTGTTTCTCAGCAACTACTGCCTGGAAATTTATTAAACTTTATAGGAACTATTAATAAAAAAAGGCAATTTGCATCTCATTCGCATGTCCAGATAATACTATTTAACACAGAGTTATGGCCTCTGTTATTGCTCTGAATTTTTAGCGACTACTCGAGACAACATGAGAGCTATTGTAGTAGTCCCGGCGTCTCATTGGTTAAAGTTTTTTGTAAATTCAAATATCTCAATTATTGCTTGAGATATTCAATTGAAACTTGCAATACTTATTTATAGTAACAATGTACATCAGATTGACAAGTTGGATAACTCTGCCTACAATTTTGACAGAATTATGCCCCTTTTTAACTTAGAAATTTTGGTTAAAGTTTTTTGTAAAGTCAAATATCTCAATTATTGCTTGAGATATTCAATTGAAATTTACAATACTTTTTTATAGTAACAATGTACATGAGTATGCAAAATCGCATAACTCTGACTGCAATATTTGCAGAATTATTTGCCCCTTTGAAACTTAGAAATTTTGGTTAAAGGTTAAAGGTCTTCAAAGATAATCACTTGAAACTTTACACATGTACTTATGGTCATAATTGGAGAGTCATAATTGTATGTCACTGACCAAGTTCCATTACTCTACTCGCATTTAGGCTGATTGATCTCCCCTTTTCTACTTAGTCTCTTGGTTAATGTTTACATGCAAGTTTTACATATCTCAATAACTACTAGTATTAAAGATATTTATTTAAAACTTAGAATCCTAATTGTATGTCACTGACCAAGATCCATAATTCTATCTTGCATTTAGGCTGATTTTTCGCCCCTTTATCAACTTAGAAATTCATGGTAAAGTTTGCTTGTAGAGGTTATCTCCATAAATAGTTTGTGCCGTTTTTGGGATATTTTTATGCATTCATAATAAAGCAGTGATTTACTTGATAAAACATTTTAATAACAAGCCTTTGTACCTTTTTGGTCAATTTTATGTATTCATAGGTAATTAGCATTATTATACTTCATAAAACACCCTTGTGACAACTTTTTGAATAGTCGAGCCAATACTGTCCTTCGACAGTTCTTGTTATCATATCAAAGAATATTACTGTTTATACCTTGATAAATATATAAATAAAGCCTTATGTCTCCAGTTGTTGTGTTAGTAATAACCAGTTTTGGCGGGGGGATACAAATTCAAGGAAATTGCTTGTATAGAAGTTAAAATCAAGGCTGAACAATCAAGATTTGAAACTTAAATGTAGTGCTTAATGAAAACAATGCTAAATTAGTTTTCAAGTTTTTAAAGATAATATATTCAATTCAAGAGAAAATAACCTTTTGAATTATCTTGTTTGAAGTAATATTGGTTTGTATATGAAACATCGAAGTGGATACTATGTAATCGAGACATTCAAAGTACACCATAATGTTCAGTTGAAACTTTGTTGTTGTTGTTAGCTCACCTGTCACAAAGTGACAGGGTGAGCTTTTGTGATTGCTTTTCGTCCGGCGTCGGGCGTCCGTAAACTTTAAATGACGTCTCCTCATAAACCACTAAGCCAATTTCATCCAAACTTGGCCCCGCCCCATGTCATTGATTTTCCTTATATGTGTAAAGCAAAAACTCACAAATCTTCTTCGAAAAATCAGAATAGCTAGAGGTCAGATATTAAGCATGAAACATTTTCTAGTAAGTGTCTACAAAGATTGTTCAAATAAAAGCCCTGGGGTCCAAACTGGCCCTGCCCCAGGTGTGTCATTGTTTTTAACTTTATGTGTAAAGAAAAAACTTGACCAGCTAGACCTTAGCATGAAACATCTTCTAATGGGTGTCTACAAAGTTTGTTTAAATAAAAGCCCTGGGGTTTAAACTGGCCCCGCTACGGGGGCCTATATACAGGTGAGCAACTTCAGGGCCATCATTGCCCTCTTGTATTTATTAACTTTCTTTAATTGAATTTTTTTTAAATAAATCAAGTGCAAAGAATTTTGTTGAGAGGTTTTTATTATTTTTGATATATTCCTCAAGTTTATTTTTATTTATTTATATGTATGTTTTTGCTCATTTAATTTGTAACTAGCCAACTATGAATTGAAACTCCACAAAACATACATAGATATTTTTAGTCCCCTACCGGTTTATCGGAGGGGATTTTAGGTTTACCCTCCGTCTGTCCATCTGTCTGTCCGTCCGTCCGTCAGTCCGTCCACAAAACTGGATCCCGCGATAACGCAAAAAGTACTGAAAATATTTTAATGAAACTTGATATATGGATAGATGGCAGTATGGAGATTATGCACGTCTTTTTTTTTCTTCTTATGTTGAAAATTCTGGTTGCTATGGCAACAAATAGACTGAAAATATGGCAAATTTTACACATAACCTGGATCCAGTGATAACGCAAAAAGTACTGAAAATATGTTTATGAAACTTGACATATGGATAGATGACAGTATGGAAATTATGCACGTCTTTTTCTTTTCTTCCTATGTTGAAAATTCTGGTTGCTATGGCAACAAATAGACTGAATTTCAAGATTTCTGATTCTAGTTTTTAAGTTTTTTCACTATAAGTTCTTTATTTCTTAAGGTATTTTCTTCAAACTTTAAATATTAGTAGCTTGTCATCAACCACATCATATGTGACAAGGTTTACAACTCTAGCACAAAATTTATCAGAATTACCTCCCTTGAACCTAAAATTTTCATGAAAAAAAACATTGTTTTTTTTTAATAACTTCTTTTTCTGAATGTATCTACTTCAAACTTCATATAAATATTTCTTATTATCACTCAACATTTGTGAGTGTTCAATACTCTAGCAAGACTTTTTCCAGAATTATGCCCCTTTTGAACTTAGACTTTCTTTTGAGAAATTGGTAATTTTTACTCCAACTTCTTCAATCATGATAGGATTTTAAAAATTTTATATTTTGATAACAGGGATGGTTAAAAAATAACTTTAGAGTGTCCTTCAGTCCGTCTGTCTGTACATAAAAACTGTGTCCTGTGATCACTTTTAAAGAACTTTTTCAACAAATTTACTTAAAATAGGAACCTAAGTGAATGGCCAATGGCCCTTCAGAATGTTGATTGGGCTCTTACCGGTAGGGGACTTATGGATTGCTTGCAATACTATGATAATTGCTTGTATTTTAATGAACTTTTTGTTATACACTGTATATGTATATTCAAAATTTTAGTTTTTATTCAATATCAGATTGCTTGTTACATGAAGACTGTAGTTTTAATGTTTGTTTTAATGAATAGTATAAAGCTTCTGAAAAAATGTTTTGAATTTTAGATATTTATGTTATTAGCTATGTTACTGTGTTATGAGAAAGTTAATGTAGTGAAGTGTAGTTATGTTATTATGTATGTGTGAGAGTAGATTAGATGTAAGAATGGGCTATTTATGAATTGTAAGGTAATGGCCATGTGTTTCAATAAATGATGTGTTAAAATAAAAAAAACTGGTTATTGTTATTTATTTACTGTAAATACAGAATGCAAGATATAGTTGCCTTGGTCAGTATTTCACTATATGTATATTGAATACAATATCCCAACAATCAGTTTGCAAGTTTGATTGTTTGTTGTCCTCGTCAAACATACATAACCTACACGAAACCGAAAGTGATTAATCTTTGCCAGCAGTATAGGGCAATGCCAGTCAGCCATCTGGTGGCAGCTCAAATATTAAAATTAATTTTGAATGGGAACTGTTCAAAATAAAGGTGTCCATGGCTGAGTGATTAAGGTTGTCGATTTCAAATCACTTGCCCCTATTCTATGTGGGGTTCAAATTCTGCTGGGGAATTTGGATTCTTTCATGTGAGGAAGCTATCCAGCTAGCTTACGGAACGCCATGGTTGTACTCAGGTGCCCGTTTGTGTCTGAAATAATGCATGGAAGGGCACCCTAGGTCTTCCTCCACCAGTAAAGCTTAAGTCGCCATATGACCTAGACTGTGTTAGTCCAATATAAACTCATCCAAATAAATATTCAAAGCAGGGCAAAGCCATTACACATACTCGCCAGGTTACAGTCACGGATTTCAAATCACTCGCCCCTCTGTGCTTGGATTTCATGTGAGGAAGCTAACCGGGTAGCTTAAAGAAAGTGGGTGGTTCTACTTGGGTGGCAACTTGGTCTCCCTCCACCAGTAAAGATGGAAAGCGGTTGTTTGACTTTTACAATTTTGATATTACTTAAAATCCAATGAAATTAAATCAGAACCAGGATGATATATAATAGCTCTGACTAAACTTGACAGTTAAACAACAACAAAGCAATTCCCATTGCATTGTATGTTTTCATTATGCAACCCTTCAAAGCAGTGGTTGTTGGTCCAAAAACTTGGTCTCAAAGTCATCTAATTTTTCTCTAAAATCTGTATCAAATCTCGGGGGTTTTCATTGGTCAGTGTACATTCTGTGGCAGTTTCTGATCAATCAAATGTCAAAGATCTGAGTTTGAGCTAACTAGAGAATTTCTTTATAACCTCAGGCAAAAAGGTCTTCCGGCAGGTATAGCACGGCAGCAAAAGTTTAAAGAACCAATTAGGGACTGTATTTCGCGTAACGACGCTTTTTTCTTGTTTAAATTCTCCCTAACTTTTGTTATTACTTCCGTTATTCGTACCTGCATTTTATCCGTATCAAGTTCGATACCCAAGAAAACCATATTTTTTTCGTCTGCTAGGGGGACGTTTAAATCATCCATACAAGTTTTGAATATGTCCATAGCGGATCGACATAATGTAAATGACCTATCTGCGCCAAGAAAATCATCAAGATAATGAATTAACCCACCAGACGTTAACCTCTGCTTAACGACATACTCCAAAAAAGTTGAAAACTTTTCGAACGTCTTGCAACTAACAGATGCCCCGAAAGGTAATGCTTTATCTATGTAGTACAATTTTTTGAATTTCAATCCTAATACTTCAAAATCTTCGGGCCTTATTGGTAGCAATCGAAAAGCATTTTTAAGATCCATTTTAAACAAGTAGCAGTGCCTTCCTAGATTTTGAATCATTGACACTGCTTCATCAAAATTCGTATATGACACGGATCAAATGTTTTTGTCTATATAATCATTAACTGATTCAACTTCTGGGAAAGAAAGATGGTGTATAAGTCTGAACTCCCCTTTTATTTTCTTCGAAACTAAGCCTATAGGTGAAACGATTAAATTTGGCATTGGTTTATCTACAAAAGGCCCGGCCATACGACGGGCGTTTATTTCTTTATCAATTTTGGCTTGTACTACATTAGGATTTGATAAAGCCGAGCGTAAATTTTTACATTCCCTGCCTAATCTCGGCCCTGATAATGCAAGAAAACCGTTCAATAAAACTTTAGCATCATTATGCTTATATCCCGTTACCAAACGGCGAAGAGCACTCAAATTTATCGGGGTAAACGCTAGATTTATTAAATCTAGATTTTCCGCATCTTTGATATTTTCATTTTTTGAATGAACCCCTGGCATTACCACGGGAAACATTTCGCCCTCTGAATTTTGAGAATCGGAAATTCCTTCCCCGAAAATTGTTAGTATAATTACCAGAGAATTCTTGACGTTGCATAGAACCTGGACAATTCACAGCGGCGTGAAAAGCGCTACACTTCGAGCATATGTGAGGGAATTTACACATTGGCCAATTACACCTGCCCTCATTGAATTGATTACATGATGGAGCACGAGGTGCTCGTGTATTGTCAACTGGGAAAGGAGAATTCGGCCTAGTTTGGACACATCTCCACCATAGGTCATTATTAATACGTGCCCACGATGAGGGTTTCAATGCTTGCCTCAAACGAAATTGCTCATCATATTCTCGCCAGGCCAAGTCGCCTTGCCTTGCTGCGCATTCCCTTATAACCCACATATACAAAAAATTACCTCATAATTAAGTATCAATGTTCTCTTTTTCAAAACCTTAGATTTTCTACATCCCGAGACGTTTTCCTATAATGAAGTTATTATGTCCTCAATAGCTTGCCAGTTCACTTATCACTTAACAACGTCCACAGAAGAATGTGTTTTGACCCGTGTCCTTAATTGGATGCATTTTTCAGAATGTCCCCATTAGGTTAGACACACCGGAGTGGGGGTGGGTCCTCAATAGACTGTCTTTTTTCCAGTCTTTTTGTAATGACATGTATGTATGTATGTATGTATGTATGTATGTATGAAAGAGTATATGACTTAAGTTTTGTCCATCTCAGTCAAGTGCACTTGAGGTCTTCCTCCACCAATAATGCTAAAACATGGCAATAAGACCTTTACTGTGTTGTTGTGACGTAAAATGCAATCAAATAAAAAAATAAATTCATCTCAGCCTGTTAGAATCGTAATGAATTCCTGACCACAAATACCTGTGATAGATTTATCATTGTCTTACAATTTAATATCTAGAGGCATTGCCTAATTTTAAAGAATTACATGTTTAGCTCTTTTGAAATCCTTATTAGATTTTAATGTTTCAAAATAATTTGTCTACATTTTATTCTTTACAGATACTTTTTGTTGATTTACAGACACGACATGTGAAAAGCCTACAGGACAATGATATGTTTGTAGCAAGAGGAAGGGCATTTGAACTTCAAAAAGGTAACTTATTTTTGAAATGAACTTGAACAGTCACTTTGCATGTTAATTATTTTACTTGACATGACATAAAATTCTAACTTTATATGAGTGATCTTTCAAGGTATAATAAATCAGCAGGATAAATGTCAATATAATTATATGTCACTTGTCTATGATGATTGTTTCTAGCACATTTTCCTGTTCTTGTGTGTTTTTTTTTGAGAACTAGCTACATAATGTACACATTATAATATATGAAATATTGCTTGTTTGGAGATATCTTGACTGTCTGACCAAAACTGTATTTGAATGTTGTTTATATCCTGCTTGAAGAGCTGTCGTCGATAAAAACGACATAGCTGTATTGTTGATATTTTTCTGTTAATCTGACATTTCTATAATCAATACACGATTGAAAAAAAAATCAATTAACTGATTAATTATAGTCTGATTTTATTGACCTGTCAATTATGAATACATTAAAGCACTCATTTAAATATTTGATCCCACTTCGGGTTTGTCCGTTCATTTTACGAGAATTAAATATGGAGTATATAACTAACATTTTGAAAACTCCCACTAGCTTAATGTAGGTTCTCGAAACATCCGCAATAGAACAGTCGGTTAAGTGATTACATAATGTATTAGAGGTCCGAAGTTCGATACATTCTTTTAAATTCTTTTTAGGCTTATTCTTTCTTTCTATTTAAGTATATTTTAATGAAAATTGTCAAGCGTTTGCAAAATTGTCTACACGGATATGAAACAACTAAGAAACACTGAATTGTCACATTTTGTATTGCATTTTACTGCACTGAAATGACATTTATTGATTTTAATCCAAATGAATTTTGAATATTAATTCTTTATATATTTAGTAAAATATTTGCCAAAAAAATATGCAAAGCATATTAAAACAGAAAGAACAACCATAACTTCAAAAATGTTGAAAATAGTTATGAATAAGAAAAGAAAACTGGACTTACGCTGTTTCGATCTTACAACACGTATGGCATTTAGATATATTATACCCGTAGTTTACCCTATTTCGCTATATTCTATATCTATATTTTTGGATATTAATATATTCTGTGCATGAATGACCGTATAATCAGTATGGAATTGACAGGTTAATAAAATCAAACAATAAATGTTAAGAATTATGAAAATTCACACAAACATAAAAAGAAGCATGTTTAATTGACTAAATTTTGCAGTAATTAGTAATGGAATATTTCATAGCAGTGATGACAAAAATATCAAACAATGGGTATTTATTAACAAGACACATCATAATTGTATGTATCTTACTGAAATTGTTTAAAAATTAGGTATGTAATCTGATTATAGATTAAATTATAGAAATATCAGTTTATCATTGATATTTGTCATCAAATAGCAATGCATGTATATCATCAATATGCTTGGCACTGAATCAATGACAGCTCTACCTAATTGTTATACATGTACTTTCTAGTCCTTTACTCCATTATATTTATCTGTTATGCATTACCAAAAAACTTAAAAGCATATGCCCTTTTATCTACAATACACTTCCAAAATACTGCAAACAAAGTTTGAAAGGTGACCTAAGTCTGCCAAGATGAAGAACATTAAAATGTCAATCTGTATTTAGATTGCCTATTTTAATGAAATATTTTACATACTGCAAAAATGTTATGTACTGGCTATGTATTGAAAAGGGTCAAGATCGAACAGTGTGTCATGTTTATGTATATATAACTGACTTGTTTTTATAGATATCTGCTTTGTCCTCGCAAATTTCATTAAAATTAGAGAGGGTTTTGTCCTCACTTAGTTTCTTGAAAGTGATGATAGATAATGTTTTTTCCTCATACAGCTAGCAAATTATCTTTGAAAGAGACATGATTCACGTTGTTTTGTAGATTTTTAATTGATAGAATTAATTAGCTCTCAATTTCTAGGTTATATCCGATAAATTTTTGTAGTTTTGCAACCGTTTTGGAGTTTGAAACTTTTTTGAAGCCAAGTTAAATTTTTAATATGCTATCTTCTTTATATCCATGCTTAACAAAAACTGGGGCGGTTTCATAGGAGACATCATTCCCTCTGTCAGTTTATTGCAAGAAGTTGCCCTAATTGAAAATATTTGCGAATGCAATTTTTTTCTGTGAATATAAGGTACATACATTATGATCTCAAAACAACAAATAACTACACTACCAGTGTGACAAAAAGAAAAAAATATTTTCATAACTGTTTAACTTGTCCTGAATTGTACGGTAATTGTGTCTTAAATTTTGCAGAGAAAAGGAGAAAAAGGTCTGCCGAAGAAAAGCTCCTATTGATGAAACGTTTTTGAAATCTGGAAAACCACCTGTAGAAGCAGATTTGACTTTATGTCTATAAAGGAGTACAGCTCTGGCATCATTTCCATGGGTGTACATTAGACATTAAATACGGGTTTATAATAGCTGAGGATAAAAAGTATCAAATTATTAATATTGGCTAACTCTAGAGGGAAGTATTGTATCAAAATCAACAAGTGCTTAATCATTATTTGATCACTTTAGTTTAACAATGTATCTATGATCAATATGTCCATCTAGTCTACACCATACTGATGTACTTCATGACATTATTATTGTAAATGCAGAAATAAGTTTAAGTGTGTCTCATTACTTAGATATCGTAACAAATTATGATAAACACAGAATTTAATAATAATTGTTTGAGACCTTAAGTATTGTCATATGTGTTCTAAGAATGCCGTGTCATATTCTCATGAGTTGTACAAAATATAATTTTAACAAGTAAATCAAGAGAAGAATAGAACATCAGGATGGTTTGTAAGTGGTTTGTTAAAATATAACTTTATAAGATGCAATACCTTTTAAAGATATCTTGGTAAAGAATGTTATATAATATGTTCTGACTTAATGTCCTCAACTGAAAAGAATGTTTTTATGGCCCCAAGATAATGGCAAGGGGCATATAATTGTTACCGTTGTCTGTCTGTCCCTGTGTGAACTATTGTTAGAAAATCTTGTCAGGCCCATAACTCTGTCATGCATCAAGGGAATTTTAAACGTTTTGTCACAAATGTTGAGCATGATAGGACGATATGTGTCAAGCGCATGACGTAGACCCCTAGATTCAAGGTCACAAAGGTCAAAAGTCAGCAGTTAGAAAATCTTGTCCAGTCCATAACTGTCTTACATCAAGGGATTTGGATGATGTGTCATGTGCATGACCTAGACACTTAGCTAACTACAGACATTTGAAATCTAAGTGTTATATTGACCTTTCAAGATAACACTAAGAGGTCAAATGTCAGCAATTTTTTAATCTTGTTTGGCCCATTTAAGTCTGCGAAGGAAAACTGTGAATTTGGCACAACATGTTTACCAGGATGAGATGGTGTGTCATGCACAAGATCAAGAGTCTTAGGTCAAGGTCATGTTTAGAGGTCAAAGGTCAGCAATTTGATAATTTGTGCTCTGTCACATTGAAATTAAGGATTTTTTAATATTAAAGATATGTTTTATCAACATCCATCTGTACTCTTACTTGAAAAGGTCATTTGTGGCACAACAATTCTGTCATGTCAGATGTTTCGATGTTCTAACATATATAGGAAGGGCATCTGTGTCTCAGACACATTTCTAGGGTTTGCTTGTTTCTTACATGATACTTAAATAAAAAGTAAGAAAAGGAATATTATTTTTTCCAAAAAATTGATAAGTAGACAAATAATCTTTGTTTGATTGTTTTTGTATGTATGTGAGTCTTTTCTCAACTAGTCATACTGCTGTTCCAAACATGATGTACATGTGTATATGTTTTTGGCAAAAAACAGTCATGATGTATATGTTTTCGGCAAAAGGAATCTTGCTGATTTTGCAATTTACTGTGATGAAATTTTATATTTAGATTGAATAATAATTTTGCCATTGTCATTTGTTGTTGGTTAATAAAACAAGTGTAATAAAAAGTACCTTATGCTATGTTAAAAAGAAACGATCATGTATTTGATTTAAGCTAGCCTTTTCAATGAAAAAGAAGAGCTTTCCTGCTATCCCTATTATATGCCATTGAGTCACATCTTAGAAAAAGTTTTTTTGTGACAAAGTATTAAAACTATGGTTTTGAAACTTGCCATACTTGTTGACCATCATTATTGTCCATCTATTGTCTTTTTTTATTAGAAAATGTACTTAATGTCTTTTAACTTTGAATGATTGTTTAAATCATTACCCAATCTGTTGACAAGAGAAGGTGACCCCATTAGGAATTTAAAGATATACTATGCTCAAATTTGATATCAGAAAATATTGATAATTGCTACATAGTCTCTTTGTAAAAATGAAATAAACATGTTTTGACTTTACATAAAGTTTATATGTCATGTTTAAAACTCTACAAACTATAGGTCGTCACAATATGAATATATAGTGTCGTTAAAAAAACTGGCAGTTTTTTTAAGAAAAGACCAATTTTACTTGTCCTATAATAGACCATGTGACTTCCAATGCATAGTTGTTTTCATTTTTTATTCAAATTAGACATACTCAGTAAGAATTTCATAGGTTTAAATAAATTTCTTTGATCAAAATATTTTACTCAAAGATGAGCATAGTATATCTTTAAGTTTTCATAGACCTTTGTTAGGTTTTTGGTCTCTGCCAAAGTTTTGTTTATAGGCGAGCAATAAAAACTTAAGCATTCAGTCCTGTTGACTGCTCCTTTTTTAAGTTACATACCATTATTTGGATTTTGTAGTTACCTTTAGAGTATATAATCAGATTTTGGCCATGTAACAGTTTTGTTAAAACTTAAACATCTGATCTGTAAGACTCATTTATGTTTACTAAGCATTTATTTCAATTAAAACAAGGAAAAACATAAATATTAGGCCTATTGTATAATTTTTTTAAATTTTTGCATTAAAAATAACTTATTTAGAAGTAAATTAATAGTATTTCAAATTCTACTAAAACATTATCACCTCCTTTTTTAATACTTTATGGGGATCTAAATCTTTGTACATGCAATGTCTACATAGGCCTTTTTGTTTAATTTTATATACAAAAAAGTATATATTGTCAAAGCATGATTGCATAACATATTAGAATGACTTGTATTCAAATAAAGCTTGAATTGTATAACCATTGTCTTCTTGTTGCTTTGTCCTGCTCTCCAATTTACAATGTATGGTTGTGCATGCTATTATAGCAAGTGACATCCTTCGAAAGGGATTTAACTTGGAAAGTATCATCTCCATTTTATCTAGCTTGTGATAAAAAAGAACTTAAGGTATTAGCACCCTAATGCATTACCTCCGCTTTGAAGAGTATTCAAATAGGCTAGAACTACTGTAAACTACATTGAAAATGAGGGCCATGGGTTCAATCCCCAGAAGGGTCAACTTTTTTTTCTTTCTTTTTTTCTTTTAACATTATTTATGTATCTCTCATGTCCAATTTGGAAAGAAAAAAGTGTTTAATTTTGATTTTTTAATTTATATAGGTATTTATTGGCTAAATTATGCTAAATCTAGTTATAAATATGGTACCTGATATTTTCAAAGTGTAATATAATAAAAACTAGACGGTAAAAGTATTTCATATTTTACAAGATGGGCAACCTATGTACATGATGTACCAATGTAGCTGAAATGAAGCTAGCTGCCAAGCAAAGCCATGTAACCTTGCAAACGGAAACTTTGAATTTGTGCCATAAGCTGCTTATACTGATGAACATAATTAAGTAGAGGAAATATTAGATTCAGTTCGTCAACCAATAAATTTAATTCCCGTTAATTTTATGAATCTCTGCCAAAAAGGAAAAAATAACTGTAGATCTACAACAATGAATGGAGAATGTTGAATTTGACATTGAAGCTAAAAGTAACATATATTTGTGGGTATGTTCAACAAGTCAATGTGGTGACGGATAGTTCATACTGATTCTAACTAGAGTCAAATGGGGTGGGGGAAAATCACGAGATCGTATGAAATATATAGGACAAACTAATAAAGTAAATTTGTGTTGATATTTGTCGAAATGAAAGGAAATTAACGTTAACTTTTTATTATATCGTATGTATTGACGGCTTTATTGATTTAAACTAAGATTGAAGTATATTAACATAACGAACAGAAAATTCCGTACTTTTAAATAATGGTCTTAAAAGAGGGTGGTCTTAAATCCGGGGTGGTCTTAAGTAGGGATTTTGCTATATAAATGTTAAGTTCCTGGTTTTTCTGGCTGCGATATGGCAGTGATTCCCGGGATCTCTATATATCTTATAAGATCCCGACTTTTCTTAATGCGATTTCCCGGGATCTCTTAATTGGGATATACGTCTTTATGATAAATACGATAAATGGTTTTCTGCTTTTTAATATTGTTGTAATTTAGTAAATGAATGTAGAATATATAGAGGATATTGAATGAGTGTAGATTCAATACTAAATTTATTGAACGAGTTGAATAAAACCATAATATGGCGAGCATAATATTGTTTTATTCAACGAGTTCAATAAATTTAGGTTTGAATCTACACGAAAATAATATTCTATTTATCACATATATAAAATAAGAAGGGTAAACTGTTAAAAAGAGTCATTTTTCATTGGCGCGCCTAAAGTGTAACTCTTAACATTAACGCGCTTTAACATTATTAGTTATGAAGACAGGTTATATGACCCTATATAAACGGCTATTTGTAAATATAACCCGAGCCGCTAGGCGAAAGTTATATTGCAAACAGCCGTTTATATACGGCCATATAACCTGTCAACAATCTTTATAACAAATTTATAATACAGCAAGCATCATGTTTTAGAGAAAAAAGTAAGAGTTCTTCATGAATCGACAGCAGTCGTGTATATTAAAATATATAAATGTCACGATTATCAAATGAAAAGCGACGTTAAAACGTGCAGTATTATAAAGCGCAAATGACGTCACGTCAAAGTGTTATTACACTAGTGTAATATCATTTTTATAAAATGGCTTTATTACACTCCTGCGTCGCGGTTTATGTGATGAACCCGTATATTGAAAATCTTTGATTAAAGGGACTCCGCTGAGGTTTTCTAACATGACGGGACTTGAAATAATTATTCTAGATTTATATTCCAATTGATGTAAATTTTGACCATTTTTTTGCAAAATTTCAGATCACCTGCTCCCTCGGTTTTTCAGTATTGCAACGCTTTTCACACAAATTTGGCTACGAATACCACAAAAAAAACAGCCATTTATGACCGAGTGTATTCTTATTTTTTTTATCTTTCTGTTTTAACATGTCTCACTCGATCTATGTACAAATTCAAGTGTTGTGTTTTTTTATGCTTTGGACCTCATTGGAGTTCCTTTAAGAGTAAAATATAACACGAACTTTACCATTCTGCATAATTATGTTTGACAAAACTAGTGGAAAACTAGTGGAAATCACAAAAAAGATCTATATCGAAGTAGGAAATTCAAAGTTTTTCTTGAACTGGTAAATTCCCTATGTTTTAATACTATCAATATGGTAGAAAATGTTTAATACGATACCGACTTTCATCACACACATGCGCCACGCATACATGAACACACTATAAAGAATTTTTCAGTTTAACATTGAAAAGAGTAACTCATGTTCACGGATTTTCAGAGCTTAACTTGATGAAAATTTAGATGTGCAAGATTATCAAAACAATCATAGCAAATGAAAAATAAAATACAAATTAAAAAAATTAAACTTGATTAAATATTTATTGCAGTAATAATTTATTATGCTAAAATGGATATTTGAAAATACTTATCGCAAATAACATGTGAATTGAATCTTTTTATTTTTCTTTCAATCTTAATACATGTACAATTACTCAAAATCTGAAAACAAATTGTCCCTCGGAATCATAAATCACAACAAAATTATATGAAAATTGCAGACTCGGTTTGATTGAGTCGGTTTGTAACATGAGGGATAATGAAATAGTGCAACAGCCCTCGTCCCCCCTAGCACTTGCTTGAGCGGTTCAATTCTCAACACTTAATAGTGAAGGCATCAATGATCCCGAAGGACCAGAAAAATATAACAACACTGAAGTGAAGTATAAGGGCAACTTTTTTCAGCTGCCACACAACACTTGACACCTGTTGTTGGACACAAAGTGATCCCTCGGAAGCAAGTTTTTTGTTGACATATTTTGGTTTTTCTTGAGGGATGCAACTTTATATGCTAAAACATGTGTTTATTAATATATGTGTTCGTTTAAAATAAATTACTTCTGCCATATTCTTAACATAACTGATTATACACCTTAATAAATTTGACGTATAAGGCAGACTGTCAATTCCTGGGACCTCTCAAATATGTTAATATACGGTATTGACTTTTCTGGATATGAAACGGCAGTGGTCAATTCCCGGGATCTCTATATATCTAACATACGATCCCGGCTTTACTGAATGTGATATGGCAGTGGTCAATTCCCGGGATCCCTTTATACATGTATGTAATAAATTCCGGCTTTTCTGAATGTGATATGGTAGTAGTCAATTCCCGGGATCTCTATTTATGTAATACGATCCCGGCTTTTCTGAATGTGATATGGCAGTGGTCAATTACCGGGATCTCTATATATGTAATACGATCCCGGCTTTTCTGAATGTGATATGGCAGTGGTCAATTACCGGGATCTCTATATATGTAATACGATCCCGGCTTTTCTGAATGTGATATGGCAGTGGTCATTTACCAAGCACTATACATGTATATCTAATACGATCCCGGCTTGCTTTCCTGAATAAAGTATGGCAGTGGTCAATTCCCGGGATCTCTGTATATCTAATACGCATATACCATCCCGTCATTTCTGAATGTGTCATGGCAGTGGTCATTTCCCGGAATCTCTATTTATGTATATTTAATACGATTCCGGATTTTCTGAATGTGATATGGCAGTGGTCAATTCTCGAGTCTATAATTATATCTAATACGATCCCGGCTTTTCTGAATGTGATATGGCAGTGCTTTATTTCCGGGATCTCTATATATCTTATACGATCCCGGCTTTTCTGAATGTGATATGGCAGTGACCAATTCCCGGGTTCTTTATAGATATACCTGATAAAATACAGACTTTTCTGAATGTGATATGGTAGTAGTAAATTCCCGGGATCTCTAATACAATCCAGACTTTTCTGAATGTTATATGACAGTGGTCAATTCCCGGGATCTCTATATATCTAATTAAATCCAGAATTTTCTGAATGTTATATGACAGTGGTCAGTTCCCGAGATCACTGAATATCTAATAAATTCTAGACTTTTTCTGAATGTGATTTGGCACTGTCAATTTCCGGCATCTCTATATATCTAATACGATCCCGGCTTTTCTGAAAGTGATATGGCAGTGGATCTTTATTTATTATTTATATGTGAAAAATATTAAAAATGTATATTTTTCATTTCTATAATTTCAAATCAAATGTAGTCTACAAGCCCAACAGAACATTCAGTATCTAACACATCATTTTTATGTCCGTACAAATTGTAGTACGTAGCACGGCTGTTATCAACTAAACATTTAACATAGGTATTGACCAACCGGAAGAAATAGATATTATAACCATCAAATATGTATATATAAAAAACGTATATACTGTCAACATTTAATATCACACAAAAAGGCATGAGATAATCGATTATTTATCGATGGCATATATAAATAAATAATATATTTTCGACGTCCCGACAAAAGAGAAAGATGCTCTCCAGTCTGTGTAAGGACGTGTGTCAACTTGAGACTCTAGTACAATGCGATAATTTACTGAGGACAAAAAGTTTTCTCTCCTTTGTTCCAAGGACACGTTGTCCCGACAAAAAAGAAATTAACTCTCCTCTCATTGTAAGGACACGTGTGCTCACTTTGGTGTCTCTCACTTAATATAATGCGATAACTTCCTTTGAGGACAGACCGATTTTCTCTCTAATGTTACAGGGACACTAAGCAGTCCTCACTAAAAGTACTCTCACGTGTCAATGAAAACGCCAAAAACGGTTCGTGATGGTCAAGGGGAGGTGATGAGGTTTGAAAATCAGCATGAGAGTTGTGCGTAATGCCTTTGGAAACGAGTGTCCTCAAATGTCGGGTCTGGGTGTATA